CAAAGAAGTGTAAATGTAATGTAAAACTAGAGGTAAAAGAGTGTAAATCGAAATATATTGTATTGCTCGCTACTTTAAATACGGATTATTGAGGTATTAGGCTGCGCGAGAACTCCTTTTGGGTATGGAGATAAAAGGTATTCAATTTTAGACAATCACTTTCTCCACCAAATCATTAGCGTATGATGCTAACCTATATAGAGTTATTGTTTATAATTATAAACTATATAATAGTAGTGGTTTATAATTTAAAAAAGTTGTTTATAATTATAAAAAATTGCGATTATAAAAAGTTAGAATAATAAATTTAATTGTTTACCATAGTTATAAATGATATAGACATAGGAGTGAAAAGCTACATTAAAATTCCTTCAAGACGATCTAGAAAGATTTTCAAAATGGGACGGAAGATTTGTAGATGCAGTTTAATGCTGAAAAAATATTGGGGTTCTGAACTTTGGCCATTCCATTAGAGTCACAAATTAGCCGCCAGGACAGCCAATCGCCGTCCAGCCTATTTTGTCCGATTGATAAGCTGGACGACGTTGAAAATACGTTAAAAAATACGTTGAAAATACGTTCAAAATACGTTGAAAATACGTTGAAAATACGTTAAAAATACGTTAAAAATACGTTGAAAATACGAAAATATGTCTCATTGCGCAGCCCGTCCTCCTCAGGTTCCCCAACGTCAGTAATATGTTGTACTAAAGTGCCATTATCACTTACCAAAGGACCCAACAGCAGAAAACGGGACAGTATGTTTCCGAGCCGCTTTCATTTTATAGTACGACGATTTTTGGCCGTGCCTTTGTTAGGGGCCTGAGGGCTGAGTGGACAGCGCTCGGGATTCGTCGTCCTAAGGTTCCGGGTTCGATCCCCGGACAAATGGGTAGAGTTTCTTTCACCCCTGACGCCCCTGTTCAGCAAGCAGTAAATAGGTACCTGGGAGTTAGACAGCTGCTACGGGCTGCTTTCTGGGGATGTGTAACCAAAAACAGGCCTGGTCGAGGACCGGGCCGCGGGGACGCGAAGCCCCGATATCATCTCAAGATAACCTCAAGATAAGTAGAGTATACGTCAAAATGCGACGTTCTGAATGAGGACGGGCTGCACTGACAGAGAGATCCAAAAGCCATTTACGCCAGCTAATCAATGCGTAAATGAGTAGAATAAGACAATTAAGATCTATCTTGAGGTTATCTTGAGATGATTTCGGGGCTTTTTTTAGTGTCCCCGCGGCCCGGTCCTCGACCAGGCCTCCACCCCCAGGAAGCAGCCCGTGACAGCTGACTAACACCCAGGTACCTATTTTACTGCTAGGTAACAGGGGGCATAGGGTGAAAGAAACTCTGCCCATTGTTTCTCGCCGGCGCCTGGAATCGAACCCAGGACCACAGGATCACAAGACCAGCGTGCTGTCCGCTCGGCCGACCGGCTCCCTTGGTTAGATGGTTATAGATGGTTATAAGGCTGGAACTCAATCCGTGCAATCGAAGCAGGTTTGAAACAACTTTATACAAAAAAGTATTGAGATCTTTGTGAGATACAGACTGGTTCCTGGCGCAAGTGTAGTATTCAAGAGTCCTACAACAGTCATACCTGTGTTTTTGTCTCGTTTTCTGTTGGTCTTTACCAGCGGAGACTGAAGAATATTTTCATCTTGGCGAGAGGAAACAAAGGAGAGATAAAACAGCAAGTTCGAGCCGAGTTTTGGACGGCTTTCTCGTCTTTCTTTACCGTATCGTTTTTTTTTTCATTGTATTGGTGTAATAATGGAAGTCGGTGATGTGGGTACTGGGCACCTCCTTCGTTGTGGGGGTCATGGGGAAGGGGGTTATCATTCTCATCAACATGGGAATACTTAGCGCATAAGTTCGAATCCACATCACGGCTCCAGTCGATTTTCTCCCTGGGGTATAGTGTTATAATTGTCAAGGAGGAGAAGAGTGAGAGGGGGGGGGATGGAGCTATTATAGAAGCTAATTATATACAAATTGCTTTGATTTTGAGATCAATATTTTTTTTTTTTTTTATGTTTCTCTTTCAAGTATTTTACAATTATTGATTTTAACTAAAATAATTTGGCTCCACAGTGAGCCCAAAGGGAGCCGGTCGGCCGAGCGGACAGCACGCTGGACTTGTGATCCTGTGGTCCTGAGTTCGATCCCAGGCGCCGGCGAGAAACAATGGGCAGAGTTTCTTTCACCCTATGCCCCTGTTACCTAGCAGTAACATAGGTACCTGGGTGTTAGTCAGCTGTCACGGGCTGCTTCCTGGGGGTGGAGGCCTGGTCGAGGACCGGGCCGCGGGGACACTAAAGCCCCGAAATCATCTCAAGATAACCTCATGATAACGAGCCCTCAGTTCGTCATGTAAGTTACTGATGCTTCTGTACAGCTTACAGCCTCACGACAGCTGTGGTGGCAGCAAGGCCGCAGAGTTTGACCAGTCGTAGTTGGTGGTGTGTGGTGTGGAGCATTCCAGAGGTGCTCACACCTCTCACTGCCTACCGGTGGGGGGGAGGGGATGTAGCTGTTTCTACCCCGTCCTTCTCACCTCTTCCAACTTGACGCGCTTGTTGATTGGCGTTAAGTTGGATGTTTGCGTGAAGTTGTTATTGACAGCAGTTTCGACACTCTTTGAGATACAGACTTGAGGGTCTGGACCCTCTCAGGGGTCTCCCTGACCCTCAACCCTCTCTCTCTCTCTCCCTGACCCTCAACCCTCACTCTCTCTCTCTCCCTGACCCTCAACCCTCACTCTCTCTCTCTCCCTGCGTGGGCCTGACCCCTCTCTCCGTAGATTACACAAGGGCGGTGTTCTCCCTCGATGTTTATCTTCAAGTTTGAGGAAGGGGATCTTCCCTTATTCTCAGAACGTCTCTCTCTCTCTCTCTCTCTCTCTCTCTCTCTCTCTCTCTCTCTCTCTCTCTCTCTCTCTCTCTCTCTCTCTCTCTCTCTCTCTCTCTCTGTCTCTCTCTCTCTCTCTCTCTCTCTCTCTCTCTCTCTCTCTCTCTCTCTCTCTCTCTCTCTCTCTCTCTCTCTCTCTCTCTCTCTCTCTCTCTCTCTCTCTCTCCCCCCTCGGATATATTGCCACCTGCCAACGATAGGATGATAGCATTCCCTCAACTGTAGGATACAACATGACCTTACTATATCCTGTGGTGACCTTTTTAAAATAAGGTAATTATCAGGAGAAAGAGTTAAGCCATGACGACTATATAGCAATTCGAATGGATGGGGGATAAGGATTTAGGTATGGACGGAGGGAAGGAATGGTGTCCAACCACTTGGACGCTCGGGGATTGAACGCCGACCTGCTAGAATAAGCCAAACCGTCGCTCTACCGTCCAGCCCACTTCAGCTAACTCGACCTCAAGTATAGAGTTACACTAAGCCTTAAACCTCTTCCAAGACTACAGTTAGTCCAAGACGAGTTTGAGCAGTTGTCCAAGTGGAAGGATGAGAGCCAGTAAGTTGTTGCTGTTGGCATATTACTTAATTGTGTGTGGTGTAGTGCACCATTCTCTATATGCTGCAGCTCCTTGATATGCTGTGTGTCCTTCCTTCCTATCTTGAGATGATTTCGGGGCTTAGCGTCCCCGCGGCCCGGTCCTCTACCAGGCCTCCTTTTTGTTACACATCCCCCAAGAAGCAGCCCGTAGCAGCTGTCTAACTCCCAGGTACCTATTCTTACTCCTATGCTGTGTCTTCTTCCCATCATGCTGAATCTCCTTTATATACTGTGTTACCGTCCAGAGTCACCCTGATGCCCCTGTTACCTAGCAGTAAATAGGTACCTGCGAGTTAGTCAGCTGTCACGGGCTGCTTCCTGGGGGTGGAGGCCTGGTCGAGGACCAGGCCGCTGGGACACTAAAAAGCCCCGAAATCAACTCAAGATAACCTCACGATAACCTCAAGAAGAGTACGTTCTCCTCGCTCCAGGGGATAACTAGTGGCTATATGGCTTACCATATAGCCACTAAAGCCTGCTAACAGGAATCAGAAGATATCTGCTCCTGTGCCCTCCTGTGTAAACAACATTTTTGTTGCTGTTTTGGACCGTTGGAAACATTTGGTTAAGAACTCGATGATATCAAGAAATGAGCTTCTAAAAATCTTTGTATAAATTACTCACCAACTTTTTTTTTTTAAACGAAAGTATTTAGATTTTAGGTCTGAAGTCACGTTTGTTTGTGTGCCAAAGTGTTTGGTATTGAGTGTGTGCGTGTGTGGGTATTCACGGGTTGTTTGAGTGTGTGTGGTTAGCACTCAAGTATTGCTTGAGTATGTTGTGAGTATTCACAGGTTGCTTGAGATGCATATAGCGCGCACAGTATTGCTTGAGTGTGTGTGTGTGTGTGTGTGTGTGTGTGTACTCACCTAGTTGTGTTTGCGGGGGTTGAGCTCTGGCTCTTTGGTCCCGCCTCTCAACCGTCAATCAACAGGTGTACAGATTCCTGAGCCTATTGGGCTCTATCATATCTACACTTGAAACTGTGTATGGAGTCAGCCTCCACCACATCACTTCCTAATGCATTCCATTTGTCAACCACTCTGACACTAAAAAAGTTCTTTCTAATATCTCTGTGGCTCATTTGGGCACTCAGTTTCCACCTGTGTCCCCCTTGTGCGTGTGCCCCTTGTGTTAAATAGACTGTCTTTATCTACCCTATCAATCCCCAATGTGTGTGTGTGTGTGTGTGTGTGTTTGTGTGTGTGTGTGTGTGTGTGTGTGTGTGTGTGTGTGTGTGTGTGTGTGTGTGTATACTCACCTAATTGTACTCACCTAATTGTGCTTGCGGGGGTTGAGCTTTGGCTGTTTGGTCCCGCCTCTCAACTGTCAATCAACTGGTGTACAGATTCCTGTGTGTGTGTGTGTGTGTGGGTGTGTGTGTGTGTGTGTGTGTGTGTGTGTGTGTGTGTGTGTGTGTGTGTGTGTGTGTGTGTGTGTGTGTGTGTGTGGGTATACACAGTGTGGCTTGAATGGATACTCACGTGCAGGGTTCCTAACATATCTCACAGTGATCCTGAACCCGTCGCCGCGGCTGGGAACGCGGTACTGAATGACGGCCGCATTACCAGTACTCTTCAGCGTCTTCTTCTTCAGGCGGCCGCAGAATTCGTGGACTCGGCCCTCGAGAGGCGCGTCCACCTCGCTAGGGAAGAGCTCCCCTCCGAGCTCCCATCCGTCCACGAACTGTAGACGGGAAGCACAAGATGTTAGACAGATACGTCAACGTTGACAGATACACAGGAACTCCCATACACACACAGGGGACACTCATATACACATAGACACTCATACACACACACAGGGACGCGCATACACACAGGGACACTCTCATACACACACATAGGGAGGGAGGATGGCGGTGCGGACAGGAAGCCGGTGGCCGAGCGGACAGCACGCTGGGCACGTGATCCTGTGGTCCCGGGTTCGATCCCGGGTACACACACACACACACACACACGCACACACACGCACGCACACACACACACACACACACACACACACACACACACACACACACACACACACACACACACACACACACACACACACACACACACATACACACACACTGGGACACTAATAAATACATAGAGGAACACGCACGCATTAACACACGAACGTACCTACCGTGCGTACGTTCGGAGACGTAATGCACGGACCCGAGTTCAAGTCCCGGGCGTGGTATTAAAAAAAATGAGAGGAATTACTTTTTACATGATGACCCTGTTCACCTAGCAGTAAATAGTTTATTGAGAGCTAGGCTGCCATGGGGTGCATCCTGGTGACGTGTGTGTGTGTGTGTGTGTGTGTGTGTGTGTGTGTGTGTGTGTGTGTGTGTGTGTGTGTGTGTGTGTGTGTGTGTGTGTGTGTGTGTGTACTCACCTAATTATGCTTGCGGGGGTTTGAGCTCTGGCTCTTTGGTCAGAGGCTCAGCCGGTGGCTCTTTGGTGTGTGTGTGTGTGTGTGTGTGTGTGTGTGTGTGTGTGTGTGTGTGTGTACTAACCTAGTTGTGCTTGCGGGGGTTGAGCTCTGGCTCTTTGGTCCCGCCTCTCAACTGTCAATCAACAGGTGTACAGGTTCCTGAGCCTATTGGGCTCTATCATATCTACACTTGAAACTGTGTATGGAGTCAGCCTCCACCACACACACACACACACACACTGTGTGTGTGTGTGTGTGTGTGGTAGAAATATATGTAAAAGATATGAAAAGGGAAAATAGGTTTTAAGTCAACCAAGATCAATTAGAGAGCCGAATGCTATCAAGACCGGGTCCAAGAGCTAGCACCACAGTTCAGTACAGGCGTAACAGGCAGACGAGGGTACTCACGCTAACAAGGCCCTCAGTGTCGCAGTCGACGTCGAGGTAGTCGAAGGAGACTTGAACAGCTTGGTCCGGTTGACTGAGTAAATACACTCCACACACATCGCCAGCTCCTCGGCTCTTGTAGTAGTAGGTCCCCTCTTCCAGGCCCACCAACATGCACTCTGGGGGAGACACAAGAGTGCTCTGTACTCTGGGGGAGAGGCAAGAGTGTTCTGTACTCTGGGGGAGACACAAGAGTGCTCTGTACTCTGGAGGAGAGGCAAGAGTGTTCTGTACTCTGGGGGAGAGGCAAGAGTGCTCTGTACTCTGGGGGAGAGGCAAGAGTGTTCTGTACTCTGGGGGAGAGACAAGAGTGCTCTATACTCTGGGGGCAGGCACACGGGCGGTGAATACTCTGGGGGAGGTACAGGGCAATGGTCTATACTCTGGGGAGGTTTTCTTGGGGTGGTACAGATGTGGTGTATTCTCTGGGGGTAAATACAGAACAATGGTGTATTATCTGGGGTAAATACAGGTCAATTGTCTACAGTGTTTGGGACTCTACCCGTAGTTAACTTGGGTGGAACATATATAATACAACTTGAGTGAACAATGAACTAACGTGCAGTATGTATTAAGATGCGAGACATTCTTGTTCTTGCCAACTTCTGGTTGTCCACGAGGTTGGGCCAGGTGCGGGGATTGGAGGGCACTATCAGGAGAAAACGCCAAGCCATTACGACTATATAGCCCTTGGAAGGGGTCAGGATAAGGATTTGGGGATGAAACGGGAGGGAAGGAATGGTGCCTAAGCACTTGGACGGTCGGGGGATTGAACGCCGACCTGCATGAAGCGAGACCGTCGCTCTACCGTCCACTCCAAGTGGTTGGACATTTAGAGAATATTTGCCTTATAACATGATGAAATGTTATTGTTGTTATTTTTAAAAAGTTGCAAATGCAACTTTGACATAGTCTACGCAGGCCAAGATGCCTCCAGGTTTAAAACTTTCCATTCCCATAGCTTATATAGTAAGCCTTAACCTGTAAGTTTCCATTGGAACACTCTTCGCTCGCTAAGCGTTTCTCTTCCCACACCTCCACGCTCTTTTTCTATGTTTCACTCTCACTTTATGTCTCTCTCACTCTATCCCTCTCCCCCCCTTTCTCTCTCACTCTCTCCCTCTCCCCCCCTTTCTCTCACTCTCTCCCTCTCCCCCCCCTTTCTCTCTCACTCTCCCCTGTCTGAGAGTGAGGATATTGTCCACACACTCCCAGCAACAAACAGGTGGTCTGTAGTTCTGTGACTGGCCGCTCCAGGCGCTGTATTGATTACTTCCGAAGCTCCGGAAGCCTTGTGGCAAAGACAGATTCTTCTCTTGTTTGGCTCTCATGCCGGTGTGTACTCTCATGTACTTCACCTTCATGTACTCAGATGTACTCAGATACATGTACTTCACCTTCATGTACTCAGATGTACTCAGATACATGTACTTCACCTTCATGTACTCAGATGTACTCAGATACATGTACTTCACCTTCATGTACTCAGATGTACTCAGATACATGTACTTCACCTTCATGTACTCAGATGTACTCAGATACATGTACTTCACCTTCATGTACTCAGATGTACTCAGATACATGTACTTCACCTTTATGTACTCACCTACATGTATTCAAATACATGTACTGATCTACTTCAGTTTTCAGAGTCGAGTCCTGTTCTATCGACCATTAGTAGAGCATTTTAATGACACACTTCCCAGTGTTCTTGCCATATTTATATATATTACTGTGTATCAACGTCGTCGTTAGCTAACACACCTTCAATGTGTTAATAACGATGTCTTTGAGAACGATGTCTTACTCAACGAAGTCTTAGACACGCTGAGAAAGCTCCTTCTGGGATTTAGATGACTCGTTTGAATACTTATCTCTTTGCGCTTGTAAGATCGAGCTTCAGCTCTTGGAACTCGGGTTTTCAGCGGCAGTTTGACTTATGCAATGACTACCGATCTATCACACATATATTCTTTTGAAACAACCGATTCGTGTTCATTCAGACTTCTTTCTATTGTGCTTAAATGTTTTATCCGAAATATCTGTCTCGTATGTCTCTGGAACTTCCATCCTCACCATCTTGTTCTGTTGGTCCCGTTTAGGGTGATGGAGGGCCTCGTCCCGTCTAGGGTGATGGAGGGCCTCGTGCCGTCTAGGGTGATGGAGGGCCTCGTCCCGTCTAGGGTGATGGAGGGCCTCGTGCCGTCTAGGGTGATGGAGGGGCCTCGTCCCGTTTAGGGTGATGGAGGGCCTCGTCCCGTCTAGGGTGATGGAGGGGCTTCGTCCCGTCTAGGGTGATGGAGGGCCTCGTCCCGTCTAGGGTGATGGAGGGCCTCGTCCCGTCTAGGGTGATGGAGGGCCTCGTCCCGTCTAGGGTGATGGAGGGCCTCGTCCCGTCTAGGGTGATGGAGGGCCTCGTGCCGTCTAGGGTGATGGAGGGCCTCGTCCCGTCTAGGGTGATGGAGGGCCTCGTCCCGTCTAGGGTGATGGAGGGGCCTCGTCCCGTCTAGGGTGATGGAGGGCCTCGTCCCGTCTAGGGTGATGGAGGGCCTCGTCCCGTCTAGGGTGATGGAGGGCCTCGTCCCGTCTAGGGTGATGGAGGGCCTCGTCCCGTCTAGGGTGATGGAGGGGCCTCGTCCCGTCTAGGGTGATGGAGGGCCTCGTCCCGTCTAGGGTGATGGAGGGCCTCGTCCCGTCTAGGGTGATGGAGGGCCTCGTCCCGTCTAGGGTGATGGAGGGCCTCGTCCCGTCTATTGTGATGGAGGGCCTCGTGCCGTCTAGGGTGATGGAAGGCCTCGTCCCGTCTAGGGTGATGGAGGGCCTCGTCCCGTCTAGGGTGATGGAGGGGCCTCGTCCCGTCTAGGGTGATGGAGGGCCTCGTCCCGTCTAGGGTGATGGAGGGGCCTCGTCCCGTCTAGGGTGATGGAGGGCCTCGTCCCGTCTAGGGTGATGGAGGGCCTCGTCCCGTCTAGGGTGATGGAGGGCCTCGTCCAGTCTAGGGTGATGGAGGGCCTCGTGCCGTCTAGGGTGATGGAGGGCCTCGTGCCGTCTAGGGTGATGGAGGGCCTCGTCCCGTCTAGGGTGATGGAGGGGCCTCGTCCCGTCTAGGGTGATGGAGGGCCTCGTCCCCTCTAGGGTGATGGAGGGGCCTCGTCCCGTCTAGGGTGATGGAGGGCCTCGTCCCGTCTAGGGTGGTGGAGGGCCTCGTCCCGTCTAGGGTGATGGAGGGCCTCGTCCCGTCTAGGGTGATGGAGGGGCCTCGTCCCGTCTAGGGTGATGGAGGGCCTCGTCCCGTCTAGGGTGATGGAGGGCCTCGTCCCAACGTGGGAGTATGCCCCTGTTACCTAGCAGTAAATAGGTACCTGGGAGTTAGTCAGCTGTCACGGGCTGCTTCCTGGGGGTGTATGTGTGTGGTGTGGTAAAAAAAGTAGTAGTAGTAGTAGAAACAGTTAATTGACAGTTGAGAGGCCTGCCGAAAGAGCAGAGCTCAACCCCCGCAAGCACAACTAAGTGAATACAACTAGGTGAACACACAGAAATCACAATAGCGTGATGCATCAAATGAACAAATTAAGGCAGCGTCCGGGATCCTCTCGGACGTAGGTTCGAAACATCATCACGGCCCTTGTGGATTTGTTCAAGAGCTTCCAAGGTCACGTCTGAGGCTCAAGTATTATCTTAAGGATAATACTTGAGCCATCCTCGAACTGCTCCATCCTCGAGCAGTTCGCTCCCAAGGATGGAGTGTTGGGGCAGATTAATCTGAGTGGAGAGGGTCCCTAACGCTCAATTGTTTCTCAGTCTCTGTTTCCTCCTGTGTATCAGGCACAGCTGTGGTGGTGGTCAAGGTGTCTGTGTATCAGGCACAGCTGTGGTGGTGGTCAAGGTGTCTGTGTATCAGGCACAGCTGTGGGGGTCAAGGTGTTTGTGTACCAGGCACAGCTGTGGTGGTCAAGGTGTCTGTGTATCAGGCACAGCTGTGGTGGTGGTCAAGGTGTCTGTGTATCAGGCACAGCTGTGGTGGTGGTCAAGGTGTCTGTGTATCAGGCACAGCTGTGGTGGTGGAGGTGTCTGTGTATCAGGCACAGCTGTGGTGGTGGTCAAGGTGTCTGTGTATCAGGCACAGCTGTGGTGGTGGTCAAGGTGTCTGTGTATCAGGCACAGCTGTGGTGGTGGTCAAGGTGTCTGTGTACCAGGCACAGCTGTGGTGGTGGTCAAGGTGTCTGTGTATCAGGCACAGCTGTGGTGGTGGAGGTGTCTGTGTATCAGGCACAGCTGTGGTGGTGGTCAAGGTGTCTGTGTACCAGGCACAGCTGTGGTGGTGGTCAAGGTGTCTGTGTACCAGGCACAGCTGTGGTGGTGGTCAAGGTGTCTGTGTATCAGGCACAGCTGTGGTGGTGGTCAAGGTGTCTGTGTATCAGGCACAGCTGTGGGGGTCAAGGTGTTTGTGTACCAGGCACAGCTGTGGTGGTCAAGGTGTCTGTGTATCAGGCACAGCTGTGGTGGTGGTCAAGGTGTCTGTGTATCAGGCACAGCTGTGGTGGTGGTCAAGGTGTCTGTGTATCAGGCACAGCTGTGGTGGTGGAGGTGTCTGTGTATCAGGCACAGCTGTGGTGGTGGTCAAGGTGTCTGTGTATCAGGCACAGCTGTGGTGGTGGTCAAGGTGTCTGTGTATCAGGCACAGCTGTGGTGGTGGTCAAGGTGTCTGTGTACCAGGCACAGCTGTGGTGGTGGTCAAGGTGTCTGTGTATCAGGCACAGCTGTGGTGGTGGAGGTGTCTGTGTATCAGGCACAGCTGTGGTGGTGGTCAAGGTGTCTGTGTACCAGGCACAGCTGTGGTGGTGGTCAAGGTGTCTGTGTACCAGGCACAGCTGTGGTGGTGGTCAAGGTGTCTGTGTATCAGGCACAGCTGTGGTGGTGGTCAAGGTGTCTGTGTATCAGGCACAGCTGTGGTGGTGGAGGTGTCTGTGTATCAGGCACAGCTGTGGTGGTGGTGGAGGTGTCTGTGTATCAGGCACAGCTGTGGTGGTGGTCAAGGTGTCTGTGTATCAGGCACAGCTGTGGTGGTGGTCAAGGTGTCTGTGTACCAGGCACAGCTGTGGTGGTGGTCAAGGTGTCT